CGGCCCCCAAAGGAGAAGCTTTTGTTTTTGGGGGGCGCGCGCGGCCGGAAGTTGTTCGTTAAAGGCTTGCTTGAGATCCCCCTCTTCCGCCCCGGGGATAAACGGGGACGCGATCCATTCCGGGGCCCCCTGGATTTCCAGTTTCATCAGGAGCATTTTTGCAGCAGCCGAGGAGGGGCTCAACTTTTGTGGAACGGGGGCCTTCCTTCCCCCCCCCCCCCCCCCCCCTGGCGCGCACGGCAACCGGGACTTACACGCGCGACACGGTGAGAGGGACTGCGTATCCTCGCCTGCCTCGGGGGAGAATAGCCGCCCTCACCCGCTGGCGTTCATCGAGCCGTCGTTATCCAAGAAGGCGACGACGCGGCGCATGCCCCGAACGACAGCAGGAGAATAGCCGCCCTCACCCGTACGGTAACACGAGAAAGCGTGCCAAACTCAGCACTGTGCCACTCCCGGAGTCGACGGAGTCCCCATCTCCCCAGTGCCCAGACGCCCCAGAGCGCGCCGATGATCAAGCCCGCGCCTCTTCCCACTCACGGATCTGCCGGCGCAGCGTGTGGTTGGGGGCGAGGAAGCTGTGCACGAGCGTCTCGCCCGTCATCGGGCTCGTCGACTTGGTCGCGAGCCAGCGCTCGATCGCCGACCGCTCGTACGAATGCCCGTCCGCCGCCATCACCGGGTCACTCATGAGCTCGGTTGTGATCGGGCAAATGAAGTCGGCCGGCGGCTCCTCCTCCCTGGGAGCCGGCGCCGCTGCGGCCGAGGACGGCCCTTGCTCCTCCGCCGCCCGCCTCCCCTCCTCCAGCCTCGCGCTCTCCTCGAGCGCCGCCGCAAGCTCCGCCTCCGCCGCCGCCGCCAGCGCCTCCTCTTCTCCCTCTTCCGCCGGCGCCTCGGCCTCTTGCGACGGCCCAGCGCCGCCCCCGCCGCCCTGCTTCTTCTTCTTGCCCCTCTTCTTGGCCTTCTTCTTCTCCTCGGCGCACTTCTCCACCTCCTCGTCCGCCAGCAGCGCCGCCGCAGCCTCCTCGGCCGCCCTCTCGGCCTCCACCCTCTCGGCCGCCGCCCTCTCGGCCACTGCCCTCTCCACCCTCGCCTCAATCTCCGCTCTCTTCGCCTCCCTCGCCGCCGACACAAGTGCGCGCTCGCACTCGCTGTGGCCCTTCTGCTTGGCCCACTGCAGCGCCGTACGCCCGGCCGAGGTGCGCGCCGCCGTGTCTGCGCCCGCCCGCAGCAGGCAGAGCACGACAGCGGAGTGGCCCTCGTGGCACGCGATGTGCAGGGGTGTGGCGCCGTCCTCATCGGCTTGGTCGACCGCCGCGTTGGCGTCGATCAGCAGCCGCACGCACTCGAGGTGGCCCTCCCCGCACGCGATGAACAGCGGCGAGGCGCCGCGGCCCGTGGCTTGGTTGACCGCCGCACCAGCCTCGAGAAGCAGCTGGACGCACTCGGGGTTGCCCTTCTGGCACGCGATGAACAGTGGCGTGGCGCCGCTGTTCTTGGCTTGGTTGACCGCCGCGCTGGCGCCGAGGAGCAGCCGGGCGCACATGAGGTGTCCCTCCTGGCACGCGGCGTACAGCGGCGTGGCGCCGCCGTCCTTGGCTTGGTTGATCGCCGCGCTGGCCTCGAGGAGCAGCCGGACGACGTCGAGGTGGCCCTTCTCGCACGCCTTGTACAGCGGCGTGGCGCCGTTGTTCTTGGCTTTGTCAACCACCGCGCTGGCCTTGAGGAGCAGCTGGGCGCACTCGAGGTGACCCTCTTGGCATGCGGCGTACAGCGGCGTGAAGCCGTCAGCGTCTGCTTGGTTCACCGCAGCGCCCGCGGTGATCATCAGACGGACGCAATCGATCTGGCCAGCCTGGCTCGCAGCGCTCAGCGGCGTGGTGCCGTCGTCCCTGGCTTGTTCGACCGCCGCGCGGGCGCCGAGAAGCAGCCGGACGCACTCGAGGTAGCCCTTCTGGCACGCGATGTACAGCGGTGTGGCGCCGTCGTCCCTGGCTTGTCCGACCGCCGCGCCAGCCTCGAGAAGCAGCTGGATGCACTCGAGGTGGCCCTCCTGGCAAGCGATGAACAGCGGCGCGGCGCCGTCTCCCGTGGCTTGGTTGACCGCCGCGTCAGCAGCGAGAAGCAGCCGGGCGCACTCGAGGTGAAATTTCTGGCACGCGATGTGCAGCGGTGTGAAGCCGTTCTCCTCGGCTTGGTCGACCGCCGCGCGAGCCTTGACAAGCAGCTGGGCGATCTCGAGGTGGCCCTTCTCGCACGCGACGTACAGCGGCGTGGCGCCATTCTCCTCGGCTTGGTTGACTGCCGCACGCGCCTCGAGAAGCAGCTGGGCGCACTCGAGGTGGCCCTCCTCGCACGCGACGAGCAGCGGCGTGATGCCGTCAGTGTCTGCTTGGTTCACCGCAGCGCCCGCGGTGATCATCAGACGGACGCAATCGATCTGGCCAGCCTGGCTCGCAGCGCTCAGCGGCGTGGTGCCGTCATTACTGGCTTGGTCAACCGCCGCGCCGGCCTCGAGGAGCAGCTGGGCGCACTCGAGGTGGCCGTTCTGGCACGCGATGTACAGCGGCGTGACGCCGTTGACGTTGGCTTGGTTGGCCGCCGCGCCAGCCTCGAGGAGCAGCTGGACGCACTCGCGGTGGCCGTTCTGGCACGCGATGAACAACGGCGTGGCGCCGTCGTCCTTGGCTTGGTTGATCGCCGCGCTTGCGCCGAGAAGCAGCCGCACGCACTCGAGCTGGCCCTTCTGGCACGCCATGAACAGCGGCGTGGCGCCGTCACCCTTAGCTTGGTCGGCGTCAGCGTTGGCGCCGAGGAGCAGCCGCACGCAGTCGAGCTGGCCCTCCTGGCACGCGATGGCCAGCGCGGTGGAGCCACGGCCCGTCGTCGCCCCCACGCTCGCGCCGCTCTCGAGCAGCAGCCGCACGGCGTCGGCCTGCCCGCGCCAAGCGGCGTAGGTCAGCAGCGTGTACTGGTTCTCGCCCTCGAGGCGCGCGTCGAGCAGGGCGGTGAGCGCCGGGCCGCGCGTCCACCTCGTGAGGAGGGCGTGCAGCGAGCCCAGGTCGCCCCGGCGCAGGTCGGCGAGCAAGGTCGGGCTGATGGCGCCGCTCATTGTGTGGCGATTGATTCCGCCGCCGCCAGCCGCCACCGCCACCGCCACACGCACCACCTCTGGGTTCCAGCTGTTTGCGGGGTAGGGCGTGGAGCATTCTTGTGCTGACCGCGCTCGCGTGCTCCGTCGCCACCTCCCCTCCCCTTTGTGGGGGGTTCTGTGGCCATCGGGGGGGCCCCCCCCCCCCCCCCCTCCAGCTTGCCACCCCCACCCCCCACCCCGGCTGGTCGAGCGACCCGGGGGATGCCCCGCGCGCCTGACCCAGGCGCGAAAAACGAATCTGCGAGGCGAGGCCGCTCACGCGGCCCGATGGGGAGGAACGGGGCGAGCCCCCTCCAACCCACCCGCGCTAGGTCTCGGGGGACGAAGGGGTCACAACCGACGACCTCGGGAACTAGGATGCAGAGGCGGAGGCGGCGGCGGCGGAAGAGGAGGAGGGGGAGAGTGAGGGGGAGGCGGAGGCGGGGGCACCTGTGACGGCCCGCTACGAGAAGGGCGACTACCGGTTCGCGCGGGAGAAGAATTGCGACCTGCGTTTGCTCGACTTCGAGACGTTCGGCGGCTTCGGGGACGGCGTCCGCAGAATTCTTCGGCAGGCGGCGGACCAGCTGAGTAACAAACTTTCGCACGCTCAGCACCTCGATGAGGTCACATGGACCACCAAGAACTGGCACGGGCTGCAGATGCAGCGCTTGTCTGTCGTTCTCCACACCGCCGTGGCGTGGCAGACGGTGAACGAGCTAGCGTGCGGGGACAGCGGCATTGTGCACGGAGCTAAGTGCATTGCCGTTCTTAACGGAGTCGCTTAGGCGACTCCGGTGGTGTGCCGGTGATAGTACTAGCACGCGCCAGTTCGCACCTGTGTCGAGCCTGTCTGCTGTGAGAGAGAGTTGTCTTGTTTAAATTCTTCTTGGTTCACGCCGCTTCTGCGAAGGGAGCCAAAGCGCATCGCGTCGTCCGCCCATGCGCCACGGCCTTCGCTCGCTGGCCATCGCCGCGGGCGCGATCGCCGGCGCGTCGGGCGGCCTCGTCTCGCGGCCGCACGCCTTCTCCGCCTCCGCGCCGGCCGCCATCTCGCGGCGCGCCAGCAGCGTGCACGCTTCGGTCGCGATCTCCAAGCCGCCGCTGCCAGAGGTGGTCGAGCGGGCGCCGGCGACGCACCCAGCGTTCGAGCTGGTCCGCGTCGAGATGGTGGATGAGTACACCATCAAGGTCGCCACCTACCGCCACCGCCAGTCGGGCGCCGAGGTCATCTCGGCACAGGCGGACGACGAGAACAAGGTGTTTGGCATCGCGTTCCGCACGCCGGTGGAGGACTCGACGGGGGTGCCGCACATCCTCGAGCACTCTGTCCTCTGCGGCAGCGCAAAGTACACCTCCAAGGAGCCCTTCACCGAGCTCCTCAAGGGATCGCTCCAGACCTTCCTCAACGCGTTCACCTACCCCGACCGCACGTGCTACCCGGTCGCCTCGTGCAACACAAAGGACTTTTACAACCTGGTCAACGTCTACCTCGACGCGGTGCTCTCGCCGCGCGCCAAGCGCGACCCCACCGTCTTTGCGCAGGAGGGGTGGCACTACGAGCTCGACGCGGCCGAGGAGCCGCTCACGTACAAAGGCGCCGTCTTCCGCGGGAGATATGGGGAGATGTGGGGAGATGTGGGGAGATGTGGGGAGATATGGGCCGAGGAGCCGCTCACGTACAAAGGCGCCGTCTTCCGCGGGAGATATGGGGAGATGTGGGGAGATATGGGGAGATATGGGCCGAGGAGCCGCTCACGTACAAAGGCGCCGTCTTCCGCGGGAGATGTGGGGAGATATGGGGAGATATGGGGAGATATGGGCCGAGGAGCCGCTCACGTACAAAGGCGCCGTCTTCCGCGGGAGATATGGGGAGATGTGGGGAGATATGGGGAGATATGGGCCGAGGAGCCGCTCACGTACAAAGGCGCCGTCTTCCGCGGGAGATATGGGGAGATATGGGGAGATATGGGGAGATATGGGGAGATATGGGCCGAGGAGCCGCTCACGTACAAAGGCGCCGTCTTCCGCGGGAGATATGCGGAGATGTGGGGAGATATGGGGAGATATGGGGAGATACGTCCTCGCGTACACAGGCGTTGTCCTCAGATATGGGGAGATATGGGGAGATGTGGGGAGATGTGGGGAGATATGGGGAGATATGTCCTCGCGTACACAGGCGTGGTCTTCAACGAGATGAAGGGCGTCTAATTAACTCTTAATTAACTCTTAGTTAACTCTTCATCAGGCGTGGTCTTCAACGAGATGAAGGGCGTCTACTCGTCGCCAGACTCGCTGCTCTACCGCGCCGCGCAGCAGGCCACCTCCCCCGACAACACGTACGCCACGGACTCCGAGACACTTCCGTCACACTTCCTAGACACTTCCTGCAGGCGACCTTCCCCGACAACACGTACGCCAAGGACTCCGGCGGCGGACCCTAGAAGCGGAAGATCTCCCCATATCTCCCCATATCTCCCCATATCTCCCCATATCTCCCCATATCTCCCCATATCTCCCCATATCTCCCCTTATCTCGGGCGCACGGGACGCGGCACAAACGGGGCACAGAAGCCAGGCTACGAACACGCGGGAGGCACGTACTAGACAGTTCCTAGACACTTACTAGACAGTTCCTAGACACTTCCTAGACATCTCCTAGGCACTTCCCAGACCCGGGGCGGACCACGTACTAGTGTGAAGAGGACGCACCTCTCGTGCTCGAGAGGACCTTCCCCCGCCCTCACTGCTCTGAATGCGCCTTCCCCGCTCTTCCCCCCCTCATGCTCGCGCCTTCCCGCCCCCATGCTGGCGCCTCCCCCCCCTCATGTCGGCGCCTTCACGCAAAAACACAACCCCGGACCCAAGACGCGCATAAGCACAGACAGTCGAGAAGGGAGAGGCAGCGACGGCAGTCAGACGTCAGCGCTGCGTCCCAGGACGGCGAATGCGAGGACGGCCCTCTAGTGTCTTCACACCGCACGACACACACCGCTCACCCACGCGCACCGGGCCTTGCACTTTGAATGCCGTGGGGCTCCTGTCGTTAGACGTGGAGACGCGAGGGACTAGCCTGGCCCTTGCCCCACCACCTCGTGTGTGTGGAGAAGTTTCCCTGACCTTACCTGACCTTACCTGACCTTATCCACCGCAGGAGGCGACCCCGACGCGATCGTCGAGCTGACCTTCGACCAGTTCAAGCGCTTCCACGACGCGTAACACCACCCCTCCAACTCGCGCATCTTCTGTGAACAACGTCTCTTCACACCTCCAGCTGTGAACAGGTACTACCACCCCTCCAACTCGCGCATCTTCTGTGAACGGCGTCTCTTCACACCTCCAGCTGTGAAAAGGTACAACCACCCCTCCAACTCGCGCATCTTCTGTGAACAGCGTCTCTTCACACCTCCAGCTGTGAACAGGTACTACCACCCCTCCAACTCGCGCATCTTCTGTGAACGGCGTCTCTTCACACCTCCAGCTGTGAACAGGTACTACCACCCCTCCAACTCGCGCATCTTCTTCTACGGCGACGACCCGCTCGAGGCGCGGCGCGACCGAGTTCACTCTTAATGAAGTGTGAATGAACTCTCCATTAGGCGACGATCCGCTCGAGGCGCGGCGCGACCGAATCCACTCTGAATTGAGTCGGAATTCACTTCATTAGGCGACGATCCGCTCGAGGCGCGGCTCGACCTGCTCGACTCGTACCTCGCTCCCTTCACCGCGCCGGCCACGCCCGCCGCAGCGTCGCGGAGGAGGGGGGTGGAGGATGGCATTTCCCCACGGGTACTCGGTCCATGAGCTAGGCCACGCCCGCAGCGTCGCGGAGGAGGGATGGAGGATGGCCCATCCCCACGGGTATTTCTTTTTTGAGCTAGGCCACGCCCGCAGCGTCGCGTATCGAGACGCAGGCGAAGTTCGCCACGCCGCGCCGCGTGGTCGAGCGTTTCCCCGCCTCGGCCGACGAGGCGGCGCCGGGGGCGCCGTCGCACATGGTCATGCTCAACTGGCTGCTCAACGAGAAGCCGCTGTCGCCGGTCGACGCGCTCGCGCTGACGGCGCTCGCGCTGTGAACGGCGTCTCTTCACACCTCCAGCTGTGAACAGGTCGACGAGCTCGCGCTGACGGTGCTCGATGAGCTGCTGATGGGCACACGCACCGCCACGCTGTACAAGGCGAGGGCCGAGAGGAGCGGGCTCGGCCCATGATGGAATCATGACGAAGGGTTGAGGCTGGATTAGGCGATGGCCGAGAGCGGGCTTGGTGCGGCGGTGGTCGGCGGCGGCGTCTCGGACGAGCTCAAGCAGGCGCATTAATTAGCCTTAATTAGCCTTAATTAGCCTTAATTAGCCTCAATTATTTAGCCTCTCGGACGAGCTCAAGCAGGCGCACACACACACTGCGGACACACGCGCACCGGGCCTTGCACTTCCAATGCCGTGCCGGCTCCTGTCGTCGGAGTAACGAGGGACTAGCTTCGCGCCTTTCCCCGCCTCTTGTGTGTGTGGAGATCTGCCGTACCTTACCCTACCCTCCCTTACCCTACCCTCCCTTACCTTACCCTAGGCGACCTTCTCCGTCGGCCTCAAGGGGGTCGCCAAGGAAGACGTGCCAAAGGTCTACGCCCAACACTGCCGCACCATCTCATAGCCCAACACCGCCGCGCCATCGCCCGCGCGTGAATCCCTTGCCCCCACGGTACCCGGACCAAGTCCCCTACCTCCCCACGGTACCCGAATCCAAAGGTAGAGGCGCTCGCCCTCGAGACGCTCGCCGCCGCCGCCAAGGACGGCTTCGAGGCGGACGCGGTCGAGGCGACCGTCAAGCCGCTCCGCGCGCCCGGCTAGAGAGAGACATGTGGCCGAGCGTATTTCTTTTTCTACAGGCCGCCGTCAAGCCGCTCGCGCGTCCGGCTAGAGAGAGAGAGACATGTGTCCGAGCGCACTTCTGTTGTCTCTCCAGGCGACCGTCAAGCCGCTCGCGCGCCCGGCGAGAGAGAGACATGTGGCCGAGCGTCTTTCTTTTTTCTAGGCGGCCGTCAACACGCTCGAGTTCCAGCTGCGCGAGATGAACACGGGCGGCTTCCCCAAGGGGCTCGCCTTCATGCTCTCGATGCTGCCGCGCTGGATCTACCGCGACGACGAGGGCGCCAACGTGAATTCACAGCGTCTGAACCGTTCATTAATGACGAATTAGGATCTACCGCGACGATGAGGGCGCGAACGTGAATTCACAGCGTCTGAACCGTTCATTAATGACGAATTAGGATCTACCGCGACGATGAGGGCGCGAACGTCGCCGACGCGCTGCGCTTCGAGGCGCCGCTGGCCGAGCTCAAGACGAAGTTGGCCAGCGGCGAGAAGGTGCTCGAGCCGTGCGTGAGTAGCTACTGGTGAACGAGTGGTGGCTGTTCACACCGCCAGCGGGCTGAACAACAGGTATTCGAGCCGCTGCTCGCTTCACTGCTCGTCGACAACGGCCACCTCGCGACCATCGAGATGGTGCCGGACGCGTCGCTGGCCGAGGAGCGTGCACAGCGTCTCCTCACGCCTCCGGCTGTGAGCAGGTGCCGGACGCGTCGCTGGCCGAGGAGTGGGCGGCCAAGGAGCGGTCCCGGCTGGAGGCGGCCAAGGCGGCGATGGGCGAGGAGGAGCTGGCCGATGTGATCCGCTCTACCGCCGACCTGAAGCGCGCGCAGCTCGCGGAGGACAGCGCCGAGGACCTCGCCACCATCCCGCGGGTGGGCTTGGCCGACCTCGAGGCCAAGGCGTGCCTCAGCAGAGTCACCGCATCTGATTCCACACGCACCCCCCCCCTCCCCTGGAAAAAGAAATCACATTGGTGGGGTGCCCTACCATCACACACTGGTGTGAATACGTCCCGAACCCATACTTGGGACCCGTAGCATATGCTCCTCCGCACCATCCGCCCTCCTTCATACCTCCTCATCCTCGCAGCTCATCGTCATCCTCACCGCTCTCACCACCACTCCCACTCGTCCTCAGGTACTTCACGAATTCATCCACTGGTTCACTACTTAATTCACCGCTCACACTCGTCCTCAGGGGGCATCACTAGGTAGTAGGTAGGTGCTCACCTCACACACTGTCTAGGCAGAGACAAGGAGGGAGGAGGGAGGAGGGGTAGGCAGGTAGGTAGGCAGGTGTCACCTCACACACTGTCTAGGCAGAGACAAGGAGGGCCCCCGCACACACTAGAAGCGGAACAGGTAGGTAGGTAGGTAGGTGTCACCTCACACTGTCTGGGCAGAGACAAGGAGGGAGGAGGGAGGAGGGGTAGTAGGTAGGTAGGTAGGTGTCACCTCACACTGTCTGGGCAGAGACAAGGAGGGCCCCCGCACACACGAACCCACACATACAGAGAGGGGCGAGTGCCACCTACCTACCTACCTACCTACCTACCTACCTACTCGTCCTCAGGTCAAGGAGGTGCCCACCGACGTGTCGGCGCTCTCGGGCGGCGTGCCGCTGCTCACCCACCCGCTGCCTTGCGCCGGCGTGGTGTACGCCGACGTGCTGCTCGACCTGCAGCGGCTGCCCGTCTCGGAGCTGCCGCTGCTCTCGCTCTACGCCGCGCTGCTCACGCAGGCGGCGCCCGCAGCGCCACCCCGCACCCAGCCCTTCCTCTCCCGCCGCGACCCATCCCCCACCGCCTCATGACTGACGACCCACGAGCCCGCGGCCGCCCCCGCCGCCGCCACCGAGCCCTCCACCACCGTCGCCGCCGCCGCCCTCCCCGCCCCCCTCCTCCACCGCCGCCCGCCGCCAATCCCGCTCCACGCGTCGCGCCGAGAGCACGGCGAGATTCGGCAGAGGCCGATGCGATCGCGAGAGGGGGGGATGGGGGAGGGGGAGGGGGGGGGGGAGGGGGGGGGGGGCTAGATCCCCGCTGCGGAGTCCGGATGCGCTTGTGTGCCTTGCCCGTGTGGGAACCGACACCCGTCCGACTTGCGAACCGGCCAGGCGGGCACTTCGGAGCTGGATGCCACCGCACTGCAGCGGCGGATCGGAGCGCGCACTGGAGGCATCGACGTTGGCACCAAGCTGGAGCAGCCCGTCGGCGACAGTGGGGCCGTCGGTGCGCCGGACGGCGTGGTGCACAAGCTTGTGGTCCGGGGCAAGGCCGTGCGCGACCGGCTGCCGGACATGCTCGAGCTGGTGCATTCGATGCTAACGGACGCCAACCTCGATGCGCAGCCGAAGGCGGTCGAGCTGCTCAAAGAGTCAAAGTCGCGGCTGGAGGCTGCCTTCCTGTCGAGCGGCAACTCCTTCGCCGGCATGCGGCTCTCCTCGCGCAACACTGCGGTCGGGTACGCCACCGAGCTGACGAGCGGCGTCAGCTACTACGAGGCGATCAAGGAGATGCTAACCACGGCGCAGGACGACTGGCCGTCCCTCCTCGCGCGGCTGGAGCGGCTCCGCGGGACCATCAACGCGCGCGACGGCCTCATGATCAACCTCACCTCCGACCCCGACGCCATCGACGGCGCCAAGCCGCAGCTGGACGCTTTTGTCGGCCGCATGCCCGCCGCACCAGCCGCGGACGCGCACGGTGAGGACGCGCCCGAGAGGGGGGGTTCGACCCCTTTTTCATTCTCGAAGTGTTGACGCGCTGCGGAATGAACCGTCTCTGCCTCCATTGCCACCCGTCCCGCCCCACACCCCTCCGCTTCCTCCGCCCCCGTTACTGGCGCCGCCCTCGCCGCCACCACCGCTGCTGCCGCCGTCGCCACCGGCGCCGCCGGCGCCACCCCAAACACCCCAGCCCCTCCTCTGCATCGGACAGGCGAGGACGCATCCAAGTGGTCGAGGCTGCCGCTGGCGCCGCGCGAGGACGAGGCCTACGCCATCGTCTCGCAGGTGACTGCTTGAACGCCCCCGACAGCGGAGCCCGCGCCGCGCGCGGCACCACCGCCGACTCCACCTCAAGACCCCCGGGCACCACCGCCGACTCCACCTCAAGACCCCCGGGCACCACCGCCGACTCCACCTCAAGACCCCCGGGCACCACCGCCGACTCCACCTCAAGACTTCCGGGCCTCCAGGGGGCCCCGCCATGATATCTATATCTAGCCACATGCGCTGGCGTCCCTCGCCCCCCCCCCTCCCCCCTCCCCCCCCCCTGGGGGTTCACATACCAAGTGCAACGCGCAGGTGAACTACGTCGCCGCCGGCTGCCGCCTCTTCGAGCCAGGCGAGATCGCCTTAATTAAGGCTAATTAAGGCTGATTAAGGGCCGCCTCTTCGAGCCAGGTAAGATCGCCTTAATTAAGGCGAATTAAGGCGAGTGAAGCGCCGCCTCTTCGAGCCAGGCGAGATTGCCGATTTTGGCGCCGCGTCGGTCGCTTCGCGCGCGCTGTCGCTCGGCTACTTGTGGGACAATGTCCGTGTGGCGGGCGGCGCATACGGCGGCGGTTGCGCGCTCAATCCGACGTCGGGCGGCTTTGCATTCTCTTCGTACCGCGACCCAAACTTGCAGGCCACGCTTGACATCTACGCCGCCGCCGCCGACGCACTCAGCGAGTCGGACATCTCCGCAGAGGCACTCGAGCAGGCGATTGTCGGCATGGTCGGTGACCTCGACAAGCCGCTCACGCCCGACCAAAAGGGGCAGCGCGCGCTCAACTGGCACCTCACCGGCGTCACCACAGCGATGCGGCAGGAGTTCCGCGACCAGGTGCCCTTAGTTCGCCTTAAATTCGCCTTAATTCGCCCTCATTCGCCTTAATTGACGAGTTAATTAACGAGGTCCGCGACCAGGCGCCCCACACTCGCACTCGCACCGCTCACGCACGTGCACCGGGCTTTGCACTGTTAATGCCGCCGGGCTCCTGTCTCTAGACGTGGAGTCGCGAGGGCAACCCTCCCCCCTTGCCCCACCACCTCGCGCGCGCGTGCGCGCGTGTGTGTGTGTGTGTGTGTGTGGAGAAGTTGACCTTACTTGACCTTGCCCTACCTCACCTCACCAGGTGCTCGGATGCTCGCCCGAGGCCTTCCGCGCGTTTGCAGAGCGGCTGCGCAAGGCCAAGCTGAGCGTGTCGGTGTTTGGCTCTGAGGAGGCGCTGGCGGCGGCCAACGCGAAGCGCGAGACGCCGCTGCCTGTCAAGAAGATCGTCTGACACTCGCCCCGCGCGAGACCAGTCAACAGCGGTGATGTGCGCGGGCGAGGGCGGCGGGCGGTCCTACAGAGCCCGAGCTGCGCTCCCTGCACCCTGGCGCGGCTTCAGTGCACTTTGATGCCGAGGGCTCTCGGTCTGTCTGGGTGTAGAGAGGCGGGCTCAAAAGCTGCATGAGTTACACGCCCACACGCAGCTTTTGAGCCCGACAACCGCTTGTGTGAAAAAAATAGATACGACGAATACGTGATAGGCTCACACACAAACAGAGAAACGCATGCCCACGGTGTCAAAAGCGAAAACGTACAAATCGACGGGGGCACGGCCACACCCGGGAGGCGGGAGCAAGGCCGAGCGTTTTTAATCTCTCGGTCAGTGGGGGGCCGAGCCGCCTCGGGGTGGCGGGCGGGCGGGCGTTTTGAAAAACAGAAAACAGAAAACAAGAGGGGGGCCGGGGGCCCAGGCCCCCCACTGGGAGTAGAAAATACACCCAAGGGGGCCAAGGAGGCGGCGCGGGGAAGCAGCATCAGGTGGGAGCAGGAAGGATGGCGCTTAGGGTCGGCTTTGAACAAGGATTTCCAGGTTTTAGATCAGTATTTGTGTCGGCACACATCCCCACATGAGGCCTCAGCGGCGCGCAGAAGGCGCAGTGCCTCTCTCGCAGGCTGATTTTGGCTGTTTTCGAGTTTGTTTTTGTTTTCAGACTAGGGGGCCCAGCCCCCTCAGAGGCGGCGGGCGGGCGCCCACTGACCGAGAGATCAAAACGATCGGCCCAATCAGCGAAGTGTGAAAAAATCTTACTAAGACGTTTAAGTCGCGCGCACACCTCCGTCGGGCGTCGCGACCTTGAGAGAGACTCTCTCAAGGTCAAGCCGTCGCCGCCGCGCGGACCGTTTGCCTCCACCTCCACGCGTCCCATGCGCCCCGCCACAGACCTTCGACGCCGCCTTTGATCGGTACGCCGACACGCCACCGTGACCTTCGCCGCGGGCAGGACACGTGCTCCCTAAGGGGTCCCTAGCGTGTGGGCTATTCCCCTTTCCCTGCGTCTGCCTGACCCTTGCAGCAACCTCTCTCTTCTATACCTCTCCCACCCGTCCATGCCGGAAGCGGCAGCTCCATGCAGAACCCCGAGCGGCCCTCACGCCCTCCACCACGCCAGGATCGTCAGCCAGCGCACGAGCATCAGCGACAGATGTGGCGCTCTGCCGCCGCCTCGCCGTTTAAGCATCCGCGGCGTCAGGCGCCTCCGCCGCCACCGATACGAGAAGGCGCGCTGCCGCTGCTGCGCTAGGCTCAGGCCCTCGGCCTCGCGCGCCGCCCTCGCCTGTAAGCCGGTGGGGCACGTGGCCTGGCCATGCAGGAGCGGGTGCGTGTACAGAGAAGGTCGCGGCCCGGGCGGGCTACTCGCGCCAGAGGCGGAAAGAGTGCGTCGTGCGTAGCGGATTGGAGATTGCGTTGCATGCGCGCTACTGGCCCGCCGCGGCAAGGCGTCAGCTCACGCGCCTGCACTCTCTGCCGTATCAGCCGCTCGCTCAGCAGAATGCCAAACTCGAGCCACTGCGTCCGCGAATAGCGTAAGGGGGTAGACCAGACCTTCAAATGGCGGTTGGCCTTGGCGACCAGGACTCTGAGCGGGCGCAGCATCTGGGGTGCCCGTCGCAGCCCGCCGGTGTGATGTTGAAAAAAGAATTTTACAAGCAAGCTCCCTCGCACAAAAAAGAACAGACTCGTAGAATTTTACGACGAAACTCTCTCGCACGACACCGGGTACGGGACTGCCGCTCGCAGGGCGTGCATCACCATACAGAACAAGCTCGTCAGGTGCAGGTGTGAACGGGTAGTCTCCCCCCATCCTCAGGGCCTCCAGGGCTCGCACCTCAACCTCTCACAGACCAGCGCATAGCGCCATAGGACGCATTTTCTTCTCATAACAAGGCTGTGAATGTGCTTTTCTGTGAACAGAGCTTCATGTCACTCCAAACGCCGCGCGTCGTCTTCCAGCCGCCGGGCGGCTGGCCAGTGCGAGGCGGCGGCGGTCGCTCCGTCGGCGCGTGCCGCACTAGTGGTGGCAACCACGGCTCATACGACGAGTTCTGGTCGCTCACGGCGAAAGCGTGCCGCCAGAAGTGCGCTGCGCTTCCGGAGACGGAATGTGTCGGCTACGAGCACTCGACGCTGCTGCACGGGTACTTCAAGTGTGAGCTGCACAAAGAAGTTCTTACGCACGCCGTCCCCGTCCCCGGCTCCATCTGCTGGCAGCGCGTGCCGCAGAGAGACGTCTGGCCGAGGCCCATACCACGCGCTCCCGCCTCTGCCGCCGCCTCTGCCATCGCCGCCACCGCCGCCGCACCAGCCACCGCCACCCCCGCCGCCTCCACCGCGCTTTCGCCTCCGCCAGCGCAGCTGCTGCCTCGGTTCGCTTGGCTGCCCCCACCGCCGCCTCCGGCGCCGTTGCCGCCACCGCTGCAGCCGCAGCAGCCGCCGCCTCCTCCGCTGCCCGCGCGTCCGTCGCCGCCGCCGCTGCCGCGGCCTCCTCCGCTGCCTCCGCTGCCTCACGGGCCGCTGATGGTGCCCGCCCCTCCGGCTGGCGGACGAGGGCGGAAGAGAGTGTGTATGCTGCATGAGTCGCAAGTTGTTAACGTAGGCTCGCTGGGCGCGGGGGGGAGTGCTGCTTAACTATGGAGACAAACTGCGCGAGCCGGCGATGAGCAAACGTAGGTGCGAGCCTCGCTGCTGGCGACCGGGGAGGAGTGCAAGCGGCAGCGCTACCCGCAGGCGCGGCTGCGGATGGGCCGTTGTAGTTCTTTTATTTGAGAGCGCGTTCGCTGTGAACAGTGCACGAACAGGTCGTTATCCACGTGGCCGGGGGGGGGGGGGGGGGAACCATTTACCCGAGATCCATTTAGGCACGCGGTTCGTGGGTGGAACGAGATCACCCGAGATCACCCGAGATTGCGCGAGATTCACCCGAGAAGCCGAGAGGCCGAGAGTGACCGAGATCGCTCCGACCGCAGGCGCGGCTCGGCGGCGGACCGAGCCAGCCGGGTGCCGCGCGCCGCCGGCGCGAGACGCGGCTATCCGCCGCACAGAGGCGTAACTGGCCGTATTCATTGAACGACAGGCGCGAGAGATCCGCCGAGATCGGGACGCGAGCTCGCACGAGATTGAGATCGCTCGACACGCTGAGGGGAGCGGCGTTTCCCTGAGGGTGGGTGGACCATGCATGTGTCCGCCAAGATTTCCGGCGGTTCACTTCGCGTGCACACATACCCCCACACGACACACCTCTCACTTCGAATGCCGTGGGGCTCCTGTCGATGTTAGACGTGGAGACGCGGGGGTCGCCCCCCCTTGCCCCACCACCTCGTGTGGGAAGTTTACCTTCCCTTACCCGCACGACTCACAGGCACCTCGGCGGCGGACTGCGCGGCAGTTGCGCAGCAGCAGGGCTGTGCCGTCTTCATGTGACATCACCGAGATTACCCGAGATTACCCGAGATTGCCCGAGATTGCACGAGATTACCCGAGGGCTGTGCCGTCTTCATGTGACACTGGGGCACGCAGACAGCTGACACGCATGTTTGAGACCACTAATCGCAGTGTGCAGATAACTAGTGAGGCAAATCACGGGCAATCAGCTAATAAGCAGCGAATTGTGAGGGTAAAATTGCTACTAATCAGGTGCATTATTAGGCTAATAGTGTACCCCCAGTGCATGTGACACGTAGGTTTTCGAAGCTGCTCACGCCGATCCTCGGATGCCTCTGCTGCGCTGCCGAGCCCTCCGCCGCCGCCGCCACCGTCCTCGGCCGACCCCACCCTGCGTGGAGCCGCTACGTCGCCGCAGAGTTCTACGCTCCGCACCCCTCTCCCCCGCCGCCGGTGCCTCCCGGCAGCCCGCGCCCACCCACTCCGCCGCACCCGCCCCCCGCCCCGCCCCCGTCGCCCTTCACCCCCGGCATGGCCCCTCGCCCGCCTCCTCCTCCTCCGCCGCCGCCGCCGTCGCCGCCCCCGCCGTCGCCGCCGCCCTCCGCGCCGCCCTCGCCTCCGCCGCCGCCGCCAGGTTCGCCGCCGCCATCGCCGTCGCCAACGCCGCCCTCGCCCCCCCCTCTACCGCCAAGTCCCCGTTCGCCGCCGCCTCAGCCGCCGCCTCCGCAGCCCCCCCCGCTGCGACCGCCGCCGCTCCCGCCGCCGCCGCTCCCGCCGCCGCCTCCGCGGCCGCCGCCGCTCCCGCCGCCGCCCAAGACGCCTCCCCCCCCGCCGCCGCTTCCGCCGCCCTTCCCGCCGCAGCTGCCGCCGCTGCCCGCCTCTCCGCCGCCGCCTCCCCCGCTGCCGCCGCCGCCCTCGATTCCTCCCCCCTCTGCCCCTCCGCCCTCTCCCCCGCCCAACCCCTGCCTTCGCCTGGTCCGGCGCGGCGCCGACTTGTCCCAGTGCTCTCCCGTGGGCCTCCACCGAGCGGACCTTCAAGGCCGCGACCTCGCCAAGACCAAGCTCGCGACGGCCTAGAAGCGAAAGCCAGCGCTCTCGCTGTGTATTCAGTTGTATTCGCACCCCTCGTACTCACGCGGTGCTCTGACTACTGTTCACAAGACCTCGACTTCCTGCCCCGACGTTGGCGTGTTCAGCACGTAGGCTCGACGGCGTCTCGCTCGTGCGTGCGGACTTGCGCGGCGCGGACCTGACCGAGGCGACGCTGCACCGCGCCAACGCGAGCCACGCCATCTTTGACGGCGCCGTCCTCGAGCGGGTGGTGTTCGACGGGACCGACCTCAACGCAGCTTCCTTTGCGCGCGCAGAGCTGTCGAGCGCGAGCTTCATCGGGGCCAGCCTCGCCGGCGCATCTTTTCTCGGCGCGCGTCTCACGGACTCCTCAATCAGCAAAGTCGAGCGCGCGGAGGACACTGTGTGGGATGGAGCGCGCATGGCCTTCGCCACGCTCAGCGAGTGCTGGTTCCTTCGCTCCTCCTTCAGCCGCGCCGACCTCAGCGGCGCGAGCATCTCTGGCGTCCACTTTGATGGAAGCTCGCTCCGCCTCGCGACATTGGACGACGCGGTGGTCGTCGACACGTCTTTCCGCCGCGCGACGCTGGTCGGTGCGAGCCTCGACGGAATGCGCTCGCAGCAGCTCCACGCGGCGTTTGCAGACCTGCGCAACGCCTCGCTACGCGGCGCGGAGCTGCGCAACGCCGTGCTGACAGACGCGATGGTCTCGGGCGCAGACTTTGGCGGGGCACGCCTGTGGGGGGCGGACCTCAGCGGGGCGAACCTGACGGGCGCCTCCTTCGCGGCCGCCGACCTCACCGGCGCGAGCTTCGTGGGCGCGCTCTGCGCGCGCACCGATTTCGCAAAAGCCAAGGGGGTGGCCTCGGCGCGGTTCGGGCATGGGACGTGCAGCGAGTACGCCGGCGCCGCGCCGCGCCGCGCGTACATCCCGCCGCCCCACCCGCCCGCGGCCGTCGTGGGGTAGACGGAGGCATCCGAAAAGGGGAAGTACTTCCATGCCGAGGCCGGGGCGCCGCCGCCGGAGGGTGGAGGGTGCGGGACACACGCCGTTCTGAGTTCCGCACAACACGTCGCATCCATTCCAAGCATGTTGCACATGCATGCGAACGTGTGATCGAGATATTCCGGTGAGCGGCGTGCGCGGGGAGGTAAAATACGACGAGCTTTTTGTTGTGAAGAAATGTATCACAAAAAAGGTGTCCGTTTTTATTTATTCATTTGAAGAAATGTACCCATTAATTACTTAGAGCATAGAGGTGTACGTCGCAGCCGGCGCGTCGGCCGTCGCCAGCGTCTCCAATCGATAGGTGTATACGGCACCGGCGGATGGGCATGAGTCAACTGCGACGTGTTGCGAAGAATCAATGGCGCAACTTCCTTCGTCAGATGCTTCTACTATGAAGGTGTCGCCGTCGACCGCGACGGAGGCGCCGAAATTGTCATCTTGACCGGCGTTGGGCGCCTTGAGATATGCCTGAAATTGCCAGGCTCCATCGGCCCGCACGTACACGTAGGCCGCTCCGGCGGCGCTGCATCTGTTGTCCGAGGAGGCGGTGGTCGAGACGGGCGTGGTAGAGCAGCTGCTTTCCTCATCAGCTCCCACTATGAGGGTGTCGCCATCAAGCGCGACCGAGGCGCCGAAATGGTCATATTGACCAGCGTTGGGTGCCTTGAGGTACGCAGCGAAACGCCACGTGCCTCCCACTCGCTCGTACACGTAGGCCGCTCCGGCGTGGCTGCATCCAGTGTCCCAGGAGGCGGTGGTCGAGACGGGCGTTGTAGAGCAGCTGTCTTCTAGTTCTGCTCCTACTATGAGGGTGTCACCATCCAGCGCGACCGTGACGCCGAACCAGTCATATTGACCAGCGTTGGGCGCCTTGAGGTACGCAGCAAAGCGCCACGTGATCCCCACTCGCTCGTACACGTAGGCCGCTCCGGCGTTGCCGCATCCATTGTCTGCGGCGGCTGTGGTCGAGACGGGCGTTGTAGAGCAGCTGTCTTCGAACCGTGCTCCCACTATGAGGGTGTCACCATCCAGCGCGACCGAGCCGCCGAACTCGTCATCTTGACCGGTGTTGGGCGCCTTGAGGTACGCGTGAAATTGCCAGGCTCCAGCGACCCGCACATACACATATGCCGCTCCGCTGTGGTGGCATCCATTATCCGAGGAGGCGGTGGTCGAGACGGGCGTTGTAGAGCAGCTGTTTTCGTAGTGTGCTCCCACTATGAGGGTGTCGCCATCGAGCGCGACCGAGTTGCCGAAATCGCCACCGGGACCGGCGTTGGGCGCCTTGAGGTACGCAGTGAAAAGCCACGTGATCCCGACCCGCTCGTACACGTAGGCCGCTCCGCGGTTGCCGCATCTATTGTTTGAGGAAGCGGTGGTCGAGACGGGCGTGGTAGAGCAGCTGCCTTCGCCTCCTGCTCCCACTATGAGGGTGTCGCCATCCAGCGCGACCGAGTCGCCGAAATAGTCATATTGACCAGCGTTGGGCGCTTTGAGGTACGCAGCGAAAAGCCACGTGCCTCCCACTCGCTCGTACACGTAGGCCGCTCCGGCGTTGGTGCATCCATTGTCTATGGCGGCGGTGGTCGAGACGGGCGTTGTAGAGCAGCTGTCTTCGTATTGTGCTCCCACTATGAGCATGTCGCCATCCAGCGCGACCGAGCCACCAAAGATGTCACGTGCGCCGGTGTTAGGCGCCTTGATGTACGCCTCCAGGGCAGCCGATGGTGATGTCGACAATGGGAGGAGCGAAGCTGCGAGCAATGGTGTAGGCGTGAGTGCGGCAGTGAGGACGCAAAACGGAGCGCCAATGCGCATCGTGGCCAAGGAACGCCGGTGCTCGCGCCGATCGCGCTTAGCTTGAGTCGCGTTCGTTGAGCACAACTAAGGACGGATGACACACACACGGCTACTCGATGTCGCAAGCAGTCTCGAGGTCTCGAAGTTGATACCCTTGGGGGGCCGCGATTGGTGTGACGCGATCCACGCAGGCGTGTTTTCTGACGGCCGACCGTCAGTGCACGGACGGAGTTGCCCCTTCTCCGACTGCCCCGGCTAGTTCCAGGGTTCGTCGGGATTTTCCTCCCTCCCTTCGCCCGTGCCCGGGCGGGCGGGCGGGACCTACCTAGCGCGGATGGGTTGGAGGGGGCTCGCTCCGAGGAAGGGCGGTGTAAGAAGCCGATCCCCGTAGAGCGTAGTCCGCCCCGTTCCTCCCCATCGGGCCGCAAGCGGCCACGGCCCACGCCTCGCAGATTCGTTTCTCGCGCCTGGGTCAGGCATGCGCGCGCCGGGGGCATCCCCAGGGTCGCTCGACCAGTGGCCGCTATGAGAGGGAAAGAGCGGCAGCGGGGCCCCTCGACCCCCCCCGGGACGCGCCTCTCCACTGTCCTAGAGTATGCTTTGGGAGCCAGGCTTTGGGGCGAGTACGGGACGAGCTCCTTCTCGGGGAGACCGAGATGTGTGTTGTGTGTGTCGAGGCAACCGACACTCCGACACACACCGCCAAGCGCAAAAGCCGCACCAGGTCGCGACTCTCGTCTCGCCCACACCACAGGCGGCCTAGAGATACTCAAAGCCGTAGACTACACACAGGCACGTGTAACACCGCACACACACGTCGCACGCGAAGAGACGCGCACGCCCCGCGACACACCAAATGTCTGAAGCTCATACAAACACACCACACTCCCGGCGACGGTTCGTCAAACTGTACACAGGCGCCCCCCCCCCCCCCGCGCACCCCTGCAGCCGCGCTTTGCACACGCCTCACCCGCAGACGCGCAGCACCCCTCCGACCAACAAGATCGGCCGTGCACTACACCACAGCAACAGCAGCCTCCACCAGATGTGGGGCCGGCTCCTCCTCCTCTGCCCCCGCCGCCGCCGCCGCCGCCGCCGCCGCCGCCGCCTCCCCGCCCGACGCCGGGGCCTCTGCGCCCGCCGCCTCCCCGCCCGCCTCCGCGCCGTCGCACGGGTTGCCGCAGCACCAGCCCTCTACCAAGTCCATCGCCGCCCAGACCACGTCGGTCGGCACCGGAATGAAGCCGCGGTGGCAGCCGCCGCCGATGCCGGAGCAGCCGTCGAGGCACTCCACAATGCGCCGGTTGCACGAGCGCGTCGCGTTCAGCCCCGCGGGGCCGTCACCGCCCGGCGCGCAGCAGATGTCGTGCTCGCGGCAGCAGCTGTCCTCGCAGGAGGCCTCGCCGGCGGCGCTGAGCTCCGGAGGGCCGTACTCAGGCCCGCAGTGGTTCGGGTCTGCGTCCCACTCCGAGTGCCAGCCGCCGTTGCACCAGCCGGGCCCGCAGTAGTTACCGCAGACGCGGAAGGCCGGGACGTTGGCCGGCGGCGAGGCGGCAGACGAGGCGGCCGCGTGCAGCATTCCGCGCGAAAGAGGCCGCTAGACCGGCCCCTTCGAGCCGCCAGCCCTTCGGCCTGGCCAGGAAAAATAAAAAAACTTGCTCGAGAAGTTGCGTGGGGGAGGTACGAGGGTGGTGTGGCATCTCTTGCGGGTCTCGCCAGGGGCGCCTACCAACCTCGCTTGCGAGGGGCGTGTGGCATGTCTGAACGGACTCGTGAGGGGCGCCTGCCTACCTCGCTTCGTCGAAGCGGCGCTTTGTACCCACACCCACCCCGCCGCATTCGTCGCCGGCGCGCGACAGGCTCCCGTCGGCTGGACTGCCCTCGACGAGTGGGTGTCGCCAACCAAAGCGACACGCACTCGAGGGTAGTGCCGACGGGACGCGGCTCGAAGGGCGTGGCTCCGCAGCGCGACTGGCACTCGTCGCAGAGGCCTCGCATTCGACAAGTCGGGAACGGCTCTACCCGCAACTTTATCGCTAACACGCGCGCACCGCCGAGCCTGCGGCGGGCGCGCTGCAGCCGCACGTCTACCTTCGTCATAGTGCCACGACGTGCGGCCTAGAATTAGCACACGTGCCTCTGTTCGCTAACACTCACACATTGAATTGTCACCGCCAGTGAGTGCGAGATAGGGCTGGCCGCTGGCGGCTAGCCCGTGAGGAGGGCGACCATAGACACCTCACTAACCCCACACACGGTCTCGTCCGTGCCTCGCCGGCCGGCGAGATTGCTAGAGGTGGAGCAAGCCTGCTCTAGCCTCGCATATTACCTCCTGTCGTCTGTTGTGATGTTGTGCCCTTGTTTGTTTCTCTTGGCACCTTGGAGTGCTGGGGGGGGCGACAGGAGGAATGTGGCCCTGAGTTATGTGTACGCCAACTCAGGGTGTGTGGCAGCCAGCTGGCTGTGTGTCTTGTGAGCTTGTTTGTGTCTGTGTGTCGCTCGTGCGTGTCGTCATCATCTGTCTTGCGTCCACCCATACCGCGTTGGTGTCCAGTCCGAGCCTGGCTGTTCTTCACCTTACTACCTACCTACCTAGGGCGGTTGTATTCTCGTATCAGTAGCTCCGAGTAGAGGGGGCGGTCTGCTGCTAGGGGAAACCCGGAGCGCGGAGCCAACCCTCGGAGACCCGTGTTTACTTTACGGCCCTTTCCCTGCGAACGCGCACCCCCCCCCTTACTTAGCTCTTACTTAGGGGTCAGGGCTCTCTAGCCCGTAGCCCGATGCCAATCATCCGGCCCGCTGGGTGCGCTTCTCAGCTCCCCGGCCCTGGATGTGAGGTTACCGACTGCACTCCAAGTGCTCCAAGTTCCCGCCGCCATCGTTTCCGCCACCCGTGTGTGTGTCACTCACACTCACTCCGCCACCCGCACTGCCACTTCCGCCCCCGCCACGGGAACGGCTGCAGGGTCGTGGGGCCGCCCCAGCGGCTCCACACCAGGCGTTTGGGCCGCGAGGGCCGCCACCGTACCCGCCGCCCCTGCCACCGCCTCCACCCCCGCCGCCGACGGGGCCGCCACCGTATGGACCCGCTCGGAATGACCTGGGGGACCCGAGGCCGCCCCGCCGGAGGTTGGTGTACCCGGGAGGAGGAGCTGGGGGAGGGGAGTTGCCGCAATACGATAACGGACCCGCCGGCGAGCCGGAGGGGCCGAGGCCGGAGGGCCCCGGGGGGCGCTTGGGGTCAGCTGTCGGAGGTGGAGGCGAGAGACGAGCTGACGCGGCCTCTGCGAGTGGAGTCGGGACATACGAGCTCACAGGGGGAAGGCCCGTCGCAGTGGAGCTCGCAGTGGGTCGTTTTGAGTGTCATCCCCATCGCTCTTGTCGTTCTGCCTCTCCCCGCTTCGAGGCGTCTCTCTGCCTCCTCCCTTTCCTTCTCCTCGGCCTCACGTTGTCGATGTCGCCTCCGTCGCCAGCAAATACACGCATTCGCCGCCCACTCCATTTCTCGTATCCTCTCCTTTCTTTCCTTCTGTCCCTCTTTCAGGCGTTCTGTTTCCGCGGCCACTCGTTCCTTCCTCTCCGCCTCAAGTCCCTTCCTCTTCCCTTCCCGTACTTTGATTATTGATGCCGCCGTCTGCTGCAGTGTCTGGGCGAGGGAGGGAGTGGGGTGCAGGTTGCTCACCCACGGCACCGGGCACTTGGAGCACTTGGAGCACTTGGGCCGGTGCTTGCACTTTGAATGCCGTGGGGCTCCTGCCCGTGTCCGGGCGTGGAGATGCGAGGGTCGCCCCCCCCTTGCCCCACCACTCTGTGTGTGTGGAGAAGACAGAAGTTTACCTTAGTCCTTACCTTACCCATTACGTGGCTGGGTTCACAGCGATTGTAGGAAAATGACGGGAACACTTGACCGTCGCGGCCTTCCGACCCGCGCGGCAAACCCCGCAAAGTGACCCGTTTTTACCCACCCACGCCCGTGCGCGCGTATCTTAGCTAAGGTACGCGGCCACACGCGCTGGCGCGCACGGCAACCGGGACTTACACGCGCGACACGAGGGACTGCGTATCCTCGCCTGCCTCGGGGGAGAATAGCCACCCTCACCCGCTGCCGCGCATCGAGCTCGGCGGGGCCTGATACGTGTCATTCTGTGCCGGCGCGTATCTTAGCCAAGATACGCGGCCACACGTGCAGACGCGTATAGCGGTACTCGCGCCCACACGTGCAGCCGCCTATCTTGGCCAACATAGGCGGCTGCACTCGCAGCCGCGTACCGCGTGACATACACGCCCACGCATGGGGCGCGTATGTTCCCCTAGATAGGCGCCCACACGTGTAGCCGCGTATGTGAACATCCCTCTGTGCACGTGCCAGCGCGAGTCGCCTTCGCCGACGGGCCGTTTCACGCGCTCACGCCCGCCTACGACTCTTTGTTTATTTAAATTTATTTATGAGCATTTTGTGAGGACGCAATCTCGTACTTAGCGATAGGCAGGCACATCATGTGGATACTCAGGATCACTCGTATGATAATGTCAGCACGTAGCTACGCTTGCGAGGGCGACCTAAGCACCTAAGCACCCTAGCGCCCCCCCGCTTAGGCCGCTTACGGCTTTAGGTGCTTAGGCGGTCTCTGGGGTTGGGACCTGGGGCCCGCCGGGGCCTGGGACTGACGGCTGAGCCACTCTCTGTCTGGTGGCTCTCTACGGAGCGTTTACACAACAGCTCGGCACCCTCTCAGAAGAATGAGGAGCTCGCGGACGGCACGTCGCTGCAGAAGCCGTCGCGCAAGCAGGTGAGCAGCAGCTCGCACGCCGTAATGACGGCCGCGGACTCGCCTCGCTGCTGGACAAAGGTCGCCGAGCCGTACTCGCGCCGCAGCCGCGCGAGGAACGACGGGCCAAAACAGAGCGCCGCGTCCGAGCCCGCCTCCACCCGCAGCAGCGAGGAGCCCGCCTCGAGCGCGCCTGGCGCAAGAAGGCAGCGTCGAGGGCGGGACGGCGGCGGGGGCTCCCTGCAGTCGGCAGTCGGCGGATCGCACGAGGAGCGCTACGAATACGGTGGACGGCGGCTGGGATGCAGCTGGCCGCCGAAGACGCGTCTCTCTCAAGTGCTAGTTGGTACTCAGCGCGCCGGGCGTGCCGCGGTCGGCATAGATCGCCACGGCGCCGGCGCCGATGCGCCCGCCCCCGCCGACCGTGCCCGGACCAAGGCGCGACCACCAGCGCAGCAGGTCGGCCGGCTCGGGCGCGCGGGCGCGGGCGCGGTCCTGCGTCACGACGAGGAGCTCGAAGCCAGTGTCCTCGTGCAGCTTGCCCAGGATGCGCTCCAGCCGCGCGGCCTCGGCTGGCGTGAGCCAGCCCTGCAGGTCCAGGACGCGCGACGGCGCCGCGGGCAGCGACACCAGCGGAGCTCCGCCATCTGGGAGCTCGAGCGCGGCGGCTTGTCGCGTGCGGACAGGCGACGGCGCGAGTGGGAGTGCGAGCGTGCAGAGGCTCAGCGCGGCGGCGCGAAGGCTGGCCGCTCTCGTCGTCGTCGCGAAGAGCATGTTTACTGATAGTGGTGGCAGTGAAGCTCCTCCTCGCGCTGCAGTCAAGGTACGCAACAACGTGAGGAGGACGCCGGACGGCGCTAAAAAAAGAATAAAGAAACCGGAAAATTGCCGAATCAGCATGTCCCTCGTCGTCTCTCTGCTCCTCGCTCGGCCGGGCGGCGACTCAGGTGGTGCGGAGCACGCCTGCTGTCACCGCCACGGCCCGACGCCCGGGGCCGGACGTCGAGTCGGACAAACTTTTGGCGAGAGCAGACCGAGCATCTTCACCGAGCATCATCGGATCGACCCACTCTCCTGCGACGAGCCGCGGGAGGGAGGCACGTGGGATCCGGCCGGAGCGGCGGCGCGTGGCGCACACACGCCCTGCTCGCCCGCGGCCGCTGAGGCACACCCGGCGAGAGCCAGCTTTGCCCCCTCGGCGTCAATTGCGAGGCTCACCTCGCCGCCGTGCTGCGGGTGCGGCGGTTGGCTCGTGAGATGCGCGTGGCCGCGCGTGGCGCGGCTGGCCCCAGCCCACGCCCCCATATTTTGTGCTGGCTCGCGCACGAGCCGCGGAAGCTCGACGACGAGCGACTGCATTGGCGGGCCCCGTTGTGAAAGGCGGCGGCTCTGCGTGGTCAAAGGCGGCGCTTGCCATCAGCCGCCGTGCACAGATGTCCCGAACCCTTTCATGCTTTGGGTAGGACACAGGCCTAACTACTCGGGGGACACACGATTCCAGAAATGGTTGTGTCCCCCTTTCTTCTTTCGACCTCTTCTCACCCCTCTCTTCCCCCTCTCCCCCACCTCGCCCCCCCCCCCTCCGCCGCACCCGTCCCCGCCGCGGCCTTCGCCACTGCCCACCTCTCTACCGCCCCCCCCTCCTCCTCCCTCCTCCCCCCCGCCTCCCCCTCCCACACCGCCCTCCCCCCCGCCGCCCTCCATCTCCTCATCTCTTTCCCGCCTGGGCGGGGCGGTGGGCGGGCGCGCGGTGCGGCGTGGCGTGTGCGTGTGTGCGACTGCGTCGAAGGACCGCTCGCAGAGGACCATTGGGTTTGTACTATTAACAACGAAGGCGCTCTCAAAAAAAAAAGAATTCCTGGCAGCCTTTCGGAAGTGCGCACCTCCTAGCCTCACATGTCACTTCCTGTCGTCTGTTGTTTGAGTTGTGCCCTTGTTTGTGCCCTTGGCACCGTGGAGGTCTGGGGGGGGCGACAGGGAGGATGTGTCCCTGAGTTATGTGTACGCCGACTCAGGGTGTGTGGCAGCCAGATGGCTGTGTGTCTTGTGAGCCTGTTTGTGTCTGTGTGTCGCTCGTGCGTGTCGTCATCATCTGTCCAGCGTCCACCCATACCGCGTTGGTGTCCAGTCCGAGCCTGGCTGTTCTTCACCTTTCTACCTATGTATGTTGGTAGTGGTGCGATTGTGCGTCAGGCGAAAGGCGAGCGCCGGCGGAAGGTGGCACGCCGAGCGTGTCAGCTAAGGGAGGCGATTGCGCGTCAGGCAAAAGTTGTTGATGGCCGACGACGTCGCCTTCGCTTCGGCTTGCGATGCCGAATCCGCTCCTGTTCGTCGGCAAGGGCGCGGCGCTGACGGCGGCGGCCCGAGCGGCTGACAAGGCGAACGAAGGCGGCGGAGCATTCCAGCGGCTGGGCGAGGGCCGCGGCGCGGCAATCCGGCTCGCGTGGCCGGCGGAGGCGCTGCACACCGTGCCGCACGAGAGGCGGGCGGCGGCGGGCGACGCGGACGACCCGTTCGCGCACGGCCGTCCGATCACCAAGAGGGCGAGGCGCGCGGCGGGCGAGCTGCGCGCCGTGCAGCACCAGGAACGTGCGGAGGCGCCCAGAGAGGCGGAGCTGGCGGCGGCAGAGGAGCGGACGGCGGAGCAGGCGGCGCTGCTGGCGCCGCTCGCGGCGACGGACACCACGGCGCGCCTGGCGAAGCGGAGGCGGAGCGCCCTCGTGGCGGCGGTGCTGCATCAACCCATTGCGGAGCCGGCGGGCCGGGCGGCTCAGATGCTCGCGCCGCTCGGCGAGCACTTGAAGAGGCAGTGCGACGAGGTGGCGAAGCGGTGGGACGACTTCCAGACGGAGATGGAGCGGCTTGACGAAGACGGCGGCGATGCGGACATGCGCTCCAACTTTGCGAACGGGATGCGGGACGGGTATCCGTGCCAGCAGCTCACCCTCGTGTTTCTGCAGTATCTGCTGACGAGCCGCATCCGACAGTCGCACGCGTCGCGGCGGCAGGGGTGTGAGCTCGTCGGGCGGGGGGCGAAGACGGTGGGGGTGCAGTTCAACATCATGCGGAGCCACGTGTGGCCGATCCTCTTCGGCGAAAAGGGCTTCCCGGCGGGACAGGAGGCGATGGCGTACTGGCGACCCATCCGCGACCATTTCTCGAGCCTCGTGGGAGGAGGGAGAGGGAGCGGCGGGGTCGAGCAGCTCGCCGGCGTCGCGCAGGCGGCGGCCAGCGCGTTGCAGGTGGCGGTGGGCGCGAACGCGACCACCGCGGCGGCGGCTGGCGACGCGGCGAGCCAGGCCGTGCAGCTGGCCATGAGGGCGGCGACTGCGCCGAGCTTGACGCGACAGCACTTGGGCCAGACCGGCCAGTACATCTTGCAGGACGCCCTGCTCAGCGAGTGGGTCGAGGTGAACGAGGCGTTCGTGCTCAACGCGTACGTCACCCTGGCGCGGCAGACCGGGTGTCGGCCCGGGATGGTGGTCAACGTGGGCCACGACTCGGTCGATCAGAACGGCGCGTGGGCCCACTGCGCGCCGCTCGTCTGGCAGGACCTGCTGGTCGGCAAGCTCGAGGAAGCCTACTACCTCCTGCAGCTGGTGGAAGGCCGTGCCGCCGCTCGCCTGCTCCGTGGACAGGGCGGGGAGGCGACGCCGCAGCGCCGCAGCGTCCGCTGCACGCCGGTGCAGCACTCTGCTGCCTGGTGGGCAGCATGCTGGTGCTGTGCGCGGTGTTTGCGAGGCGGCTTTGGCGCTGTACTGCCTGCCGAGGCGAGTGGCGCGCGGCACGCGCGGCGCCGCGCGTGGCCCGGACGGCGCCAGAGAGCGCGGTCCATGAGCCAGCCGGCGCGGCGCGAGCGCCGTGCAAGCTGGCACATCGTCTGCATGCTGCCGTCAATTCTCTGGTCGACGGCGGTCAATCTCACGATTGTCGATCAAAACCGGCGGGCTTTGTGACGCCGTTTACGCAATCGTTTTTTGGCTTCGCTTTCTCTGTTGCTTGTTTTCATTTCGTTTTTTCTTTTACGAAGCGACGGAGGGGGGGGGCGGGCGGGCGCTAACTACGTGGAGGACCAGTCGCCAGACGACGCAGGGCAGACGACGGTGAGGCGGAGCAGTCGCGCAGGGCGAGACGAGGGAGGGAGCAGGACGTTGCGGAGATCAGCAGGAGGATGTACGAAGAGATTAGGAGCAGCAGGGACCCGAGGGAGAGAGAGAGAGAGAGAGAGAGAGAGAGATCCGATGGGTAGGGAGTCTGTGCCCGGGCGGTGTCCGGTGCGGAGTCTCTCTCTGATCCCACCTGTGGTGTTGGGTGTGAGGTCGTGGAAGCTTCGATCCCAAGGGGGGGAGCCGAGCCCACTCATAACCAACTCTCAGGGGCAGTAGGTGGGCGAGCTTCAGGCACGCTCATCTCGATCGTCAAGACGTTGCTACGCGCGGTCTTCCGCGGGGGGAGCTGCGTCGACGGGTGCGGGACCGCGGCGCAGCCAGTGCCGCGGCGAGGCCTCCGGCTGTTTGCGGCGGGCGGGTTGCTGCTCGCTGCGATGGCGAAAAACTCGTCTCGCCACACGCCAAGGGCTTATGCTCTGGCGAGACGTGAGGCGCATGCGCCCAGGAGGGGAGGGGGCATGTGTAACGACACTGCTAGAGATGCCTTTCGGGGCCCAGAGATAAAACTTCTGTGATGCCATGCGTGACCTAGTAGTGTCCCCAGCTATGGGCGTGTCCACGTTGGAGCCAGGTGTGGTGTGGGCGCGAGAATAGCTCCGCCGTTCATGGAGGCAACCGATGCGAGTCGACTGGTGTGTGTCGTCGTGGTTTCGTATCAAGAATTCTCTCTCTCTCGGGACCCGAGGGACCATGTGGAAGACGGCTAGTGCTAGTCCCCCATCGGGAGGACGACCCCGGCTAGTCGCCGACCACACCCACAAAGAACCCTGCACAAAGATCGCAAGGGCGGGGACCTGTTCCTTTTTACCCATCTCCTAGTAGAGGTGTCCGTTTTATTTATTTATTTAACTGCAGAAGCCCCCTCTAGTGAGTAGTGTGTGTGTGTGTGTCGGTGGGCGTGCGCGCGCTGTGGGTGTTGCGGCGGTGTTGCGAGAGCAGGGAGGAACCCGGGCCGCCGCTGCGGGCGCCCCGGGGCGGCCCCCGGGAAGCGCCGGTGGCGAGAGGGGTGGGTGCACTGACGGCACCGTGCTGTCCCGGCCGCTCCTGCGTGAAGCCGGACTCTCTCACAACACACACACACCGCATGTGTGCGGCGTGGTGCTGCGCTGATAATAAGTTGAAAGATGGCACGATACGACTGACGGACACGACACTGAGGTACATAAACTGATGGGCTCGCGAGAATCACGCGATGCGGGCGAGAGATGAACAGAAGTGCGCGGCGCACCGGGTTCCGGGGGTGCGCACTTACCTCGTCTGGAGAGGCCACGCGCCCCATCGAGCGCCACGGCCGGGAGGCACATGCGGCGTGGATCGGGGCACGGAAGTTGCGCGGGGTCGCGGGGACGTGCGTGCGCTCGGCCGACGCTTGCTCCAAGTGCACCCCCGATCGCAGCACTTCGTGTTGGCGAGTCGAGATATTGAGAGTGGTTAACCGTGCCCTCTTCTTTGCATACGCCAGCACACAACACGCCGATATCCCGCTTACCATCGTATCCCCTCTCGCTCCGTATACAGGCTGCGCGAAAAGAAAGCCCCGGGCTCCCCCCCCGCCCCGGGCCCGGCCCTGGGTGTGCGGTTCACGGGCCAACTGCACTCCAAGTGCCCCCCGGACTGGCGCGCACTGGCACTAACACAGAGGATCAGAGGTTCAAAGGTACGTAAAGTGGTACCCACCAGTAATCGTGCTACCCACCCAAAAAGAAGAAAACACACCTGGTGGCTTCCAACTGCACAGAGCTAAAGCAACTGGCTCACGCGGCCGTCCGCCTGCGCACCCTCCTCACGCCGAGGCTGGCCAGCGCCTCGTCGCACCTCTCCGCCTGCCTCTCCACCCTCTCCTCCGCCGTCTCTCGAGCGAGCGCGTGCAGCGCCGCAACGCCGCCAACCCGGTGCCACTGCTCAGCGCACGCAGACGAGGAGGTTGCGAGGGCGAGGAGGGCGTTGATGCTGTCTCTGCGCCAGCCATTTTCCTCGGGCTGGTCCAGCCGCGAGAGGAGCAGCGAGAGGCAAGTGTCGTCAGCGGGGAGGTCGGGACAGGTGCTGGCCAGGTACACAAGGGCAATGGCAGCAGCGAGCTTGCAGCGGTCCGAAGCGCTTGCCTCCTGCGTGAGAGAGGAGAGGACCGCCACACCGCCAGCCTCCACGACGCCCTCGTGCGTGCCAGGTGCTGCCGCAATCATGTTGCACAGCGCTCCCGCCGCTTTCTCCTTCTGCCTCTCAGTCCCGTCGCGAGCCAGCGAAATAAGGACCTCCACACCGCCAGCCGCTGCGATCGCCACGCTGTTGTCGTCGTTGTAAGCGAGGTTCCACAGCGCCCCCGCCGCATTCTCCTTCTGCCCCTTAGTCCCGTCGCGAGCCAGCGACACGAGAGCCGCCGCGATCGCCACCCTGTTGTCGTCGTTCATAGCGAGGTTCCTCAGCACGCCCGCCGCACGCACCTTCTGCCCCTTAGTCCCGTCGCGAGCCAGCGACACAAGGACCTCCACGCCGCCGGCCGCCGCGATCGCCACCCTGTTGTCGTCGTTCATAGCGAGGTTCCTCAGCACGCCCGCCGCACGCACCTTCTGCCCCTTAGTCCCGTCGCGAGCCAGCGACACAAGGACCTCCACGCCGCCGGCCGCCGCGATCGCCACCCTGTTGTCGTCGTTCATAGCGAGGTTCCTCAGCACGCCCGCCGCACGCACCTTCTGCCCCTTAGTCCCATCGCGAGCCAGCGAAATAAGGACCTCCACACCGCCAGCCGCTGCGATCGCCACGCTGTTGTCGTCGTTCATAGCGAGGTTGCACAGCGCCCCCGCCGCATCCTCCTTCTGCGCCTCATTCCCGTCGCGAGCCAATGAGACGAGGACCTCGACCCCGCCGGCCGCGGCTATCGCCACCTTGAGGTCGTCGTTGGCAGAGAGGTTCCACAGCACCCCCACCGCAAACTCCTTCTGCCCCTTAGTCCCGTCGCGAGCCAGTGACACGAGGACATCAATGCCGCCGGCCGCCGCGATCGCCACCCTGTTGTCGTCGTTCATAGCGAGGTTCCACAGCGTCCCCGCGGCACCCTCCTTCTGCCTCTCATTCCCGTCACGAGCCAGCGACACGAGGACCTCGATCCCGCCGGCCGCGGCTATCGCCACCTCGTTGTCGTCGTTGATAGCGAGGTTCGCCAGCGCCGCCACAGCGTTCTTCTTCTGCGCCTCAGTCCCATCGCGAGCCAGCGACATGAGGACCTCAATGCCGCCAGCCGCAACAATCGCCGCCTCGTTGTCGTCGTTGGCAGAGAGGTTCCACAGCGCCCCCGCCGCTTCCTCCTTCTGCGCCCCACTCCCGTCGCGAGCCAGCGACACCAGCACCTCGATGCCGCCGGCCGCAGCGATCGCCACTCTGTTGTCGTCGTTGTAAGCGAGGTTGCACAGTGCTCCTGCCGCATCCTCCTTCTGCGCCTCATTCCCGTCACGAGCCAGCGACACGAGAACCTCAATGCCGCCAGCCGCGGCTATCGCCACCTCGTTGTCGTCGTTGGCAGAGAGGTTCCACAGCGCCCCCGCCGCACGCTCCTTCTGCCCCTCATTCCCGTCGCGAGCCAACGACACGAGGACCTCAATGCCGCCAGCCGCCGCAATCGCCGCCTTGTTGTCGTCGTCCCGGGCAAGCTCCTGGAGCATTGCCGCGACGTCCGCCTTCTCGTCCTCGTCTCCAGCCTGCAAGAGACCGACGAGCGCGTCCATCCTCCTGCTGCCAGCCTCCTCTCCCGACAGCCGCCTGAGCTCTCCGAGCGCAGCAGCTTGCAGCTCCGAGGAGGCATCGCCAGCGGTCTCCACCAGCCGCGCGAAGGCACCGCGCGGCGCGCAGATCAAGGACCACCGCTTGCACACGGCCGCGTGGCGCAGGCCCGTCTTCTCGAGCACGCACGGCGCAAGGTCCGGGTCTGCGAGGACGTCGGTCGCGACGGCGGGCGGAGGGCTGTGGTGCGCGAGGAGCGCCTCGGCCCTCCTGTTTGCAGCGGGGCTGTCCCGCATCGCGCCGGCGGTGATCGCGATCAGGGCATCGGGCGGAAGAGCGGCGAGCCGCAGCTCGTAGCGGGCGGAGGCGAGCATTTCGCTGACGATGCATCGATTTCTTTCTGTCCGAAGGCGAAGGCCGGCGCAGGAAACGCGGCGACATCACGCCGCGCTCGAGATCCTCGAAGGGGGTGGAGCCGATGATCAGGCACCGAGGCCGTCGACTGCGACGACGACGGCATGCCGATTTCAGACGTGGCGAGGCGCGACAGGTAAGCGGCGACCAGCCCGCCACTCGTGCTCTGCTCCTTCGCCCAGACTTGGCCGAGGATGGGTGCAGCCGCCGTATGCGATTTCTGGAAGCGGATGAACGCCTAGGCGGGGTCACGAAACTATCACTAAGACCTCCAACTAAGCTCTATGACTGAAAGGCTTGGTTGTAGAGTATATGGATAGAGCTCAAGGACCTACAGTGGACTTTTTCCCTCTAAAACCTTCGTGGGATCTTAGCCTGTATTGCCAATACTGTTGATGTCCCCCTTTTCGCATGCAATCTCAAACATCAGCTCACAACGCTGGCGTCCGGGTCCCAGCGGGTTTTCACGTAACAAGTACACACAACCGGTGTGACTGACTGTGGTGCTGGAGAAAGCCTGAGTAGCCTGGAGCGGGACGCACGCGCCGCATCAGCGCACTTGGTCGCCCCTCCCCTCCTCTGCCCACCGCCACCTGCCTCTCCGTGCACGGGGTCGCACAGCGGTGCATGTGCCAAGTCCCCTGGCCGTACCCGCTGTCATGGTACAAGCACAACGATTGCCACGGGCCGGCACTTCTTCGCGACCGTACGACGGACCAATGGATGTACGGGCCGGAGCTGTTGCTAGACAAGGCCCTGCAGGGCGAACCTGGCTACGTGCCACTGCTCTCCCACATGAGCTTTTTGAGTGGCAGGTGCGGCAGTACGACCCACAAGCACCGAATGGAGCAGATGGCAAAGGTTGCGCTCGCCGACCCTTGCACATCAAGGGCCGGGAGGAAAATCGTTGCGCATTTCTGGAACATCGATGATGAGATAACTTTTCCAGCGTGGCCGCTCTTGAATAATGCCACGTATATCAGCGGCCCACAGCACGTAGGATGCCGCCCGCAGGACATGGGCGCTGCATTTGTGTGTACGTTCAAGCCGACGGTGCGCGCTGGCTGGCAGCCACCACAGACATCTCATGCAGCCACAGCACCGCCGGCACCGATGAGTGTACGCATGCGGCGTGTGATTGAAGTGCCCTATGTGGAGAATTCCCATTGCTACGATCACGCGCTGCGGTTGCACGTGGGCAGCGAACGAACAACCGCCGTTTACTTTCGAGGTGGCATCAACGTCTTTGGCGCGCAGGGAAAGAGAGTACGACGTGGCATGCACGCGCTTCGACTACGAGCCTCCTGGGCGAAGATCGTCTGCACCGTCCACACTAACATGAAAGCGGGTGAGCCGGGATGTCGTACAGAAGAGACAAGCAAAGAGCTCATGGCGAAGGAGATGCTGCAGAGCAGGTTTTGTCTCGTCCCTAGAGGCGACATGCCCGATTCGGGCCGGCTGTATGACTCGATGGCGTGCGGGTGCATACCTGTCATCATCAGTGACCGGTTCAGAGGTGCCTTTGCAGATGTGGTGAACTACGAGCGCTTCTCGCTCCGCATCAGCGAGCAGGCATTCTTGGCGGACCCTGTCAATTCCGTGGGGAATCTGACACGTTTGCTCACAAGGGAGCGCGAGCGCAAGATGCGACACTTGTTGGACGTGGAGGGCGCAAAAGTACTGTGGCATCACGAGCGGAGCGCAATCACTTCATTGATACGCGATGCGATCGGTGCATCGCAAGCGCGTGCCATGAGTCTCACCATGCTCTCGTCGTGGCAGTAGTGACTGCTTGGACCCGTGGTTCGGCCTGGCAGGTACCCGTGCGAGAAGACGCGCGCCCCCGAGCCCCCCCCCCCCCCCCCACCCACACCACCACCACCACCACCACCACCACCACACACACACACACACCGCCGCCGCGCGAGCGCCGCGCAGCGGCACACCGGTATGTAGAAAGATGAACAACAGTCAGGCTCGGACTGGACACCAACGCGGTATGGGTGGACGCGGGACAGATGATGACGACACGCACGAACAACACACAGACACAAACAAGCTCACAAGACACAGGTAGGTAGGTAGAAAGGTGAAGAACAGCCAGGCTCGGACTGGACACCAACGCGGTACGGGTGGACGCGGGACAGATGATGACGACACGCACGAGCGACACACAGACACAAACAAGCTCACAAGACACACAGCCAGCTGGCTGCCACACACCCAGAAACAAACAAGGGCACAAACAGGTAGGTAGGTAGGTAGAAAGGTGAAGAACACACCGGCTCAAAAGAAAAGAAATCGAACCCCGAGTCGTTGAGACGAGCGGGGGAGACTCCCAGCCTACAGTATGCAAGCCCCTCTGAGGGGCCGCCATCGCCGATTAGGCGGCATGAGCGGCGCCATCCTCGAGGACCTGGCTCAGGGCGACCTGGCCTCGCTGCTCGCCTTTCTCTCCGGGCAGGGGACGAGCGGCACGTCGCTCGCGGCCCAGCTTGACGCGCGGCTCGACACCGAGAGGCAGGACACGCTGCTCACCTGGGCGGCGCACCACGGGCAGGCCGAGGCGGTGCGGCTGCTGCTCGAAGGCGGCGCGAGCGTCGGGGCGGCTGACGGTGAAGGCGCTTCCGCTCTCCTCCTCGCGTGCGCTGGGGGCTACCCCGAGATCGCCCGGCTGCTCCTCGAGGCCAGCGCGGCGGTCGGCCAAGCTGCTGATGGCGGCTTCACGCCGCTGTTCGTTGCGTCCCAGAACGGCGAGCACGAGTGCGTCCGGCTGCTCCTCGAGGCGGGCGCGGCGGTCAACCAAGTCCTGAGCGACGGCTCCACGCCGCTGCTCATCGCGTGCCAGCAGGGCCACCTCGAGATCGCCCGGCTGCTGCTCGAGGCCGACGCGGCGGTCGGCCAAGCCCGCAACGATGGCATCACTCCGCTGCTCATGGCGTGCCAGGAGGGCCGCTTCGATATCGTCCGGCTGCTCCTCGAGACTAGCGCGGCGGTCAACCAAGCCAAGGATGACGGTACCACGCCGCTGTACATGGCGTGCCAGGAGGGCCACCTCGAGATCGTCCGGCTGCTCCTCGAGGCTGGCGCGGCGGTCAACCAAGCAGACGCTGGAGGCGTCACGCCGCTGTACGTTGCGTCCCAGAACAGTCACCTCGAGTGCGTTCGGCTGCTCCTCAAGACTAGCGCGGCGGTCAACCAAGCCAAGGACGACGGCGCCACGCCGCTGTACATCGCGTGCTTGACCAACCACCTCGAGATCGCCCGGCTGCTTCTCGAGGCGGGCGCGGCGATCAACCAAGCTCGCATTGATGGCATCACCACGCTGCTCATGGTGTGCCAGCAGGGCCACCTCGAGATCGTCCGGCTGCTCCTCGAGGCTGGCGCGGCGCCCAACCAAGCCCGCAACGACGGCGCCACGCCGCTGTTCGCCGCGTGCTACGAGGGCCACCTCGAGGTCGCCAAGCTCCTCTCCTTCCACGGCGCCTCCCGCGCCGCAACGCCCTTTGGCACGCCCGAGCAGGCCGCAAATCGCGAAGGCCACGCCGACCTCGCCGCCTGGCTGGTCGCCAGCCGCGGCTGGACGCCGCTCCAGCACCTCGAGGCGTGCCCGAGACTAGCGGCTGAAGAAGCATGAGCGCATTGTCCTCACGCTCACTGTCCCTCTTCCCGCAGGCGCTCACCGTCGACCGGGCGCGGGCGCTGCTGCGCGGCGGTGCGGACTCTTCAGCCGGCGAGCCGTCGGCCCTCGAGCGGGCGCGCGTCCTCTGCTCGTGGGGCGAGTCGGATCCGACAGCTGCGGCCGCCGGCTCCACCGTCGCGATCCACTCTCTCGTCTCGCGGCCCTCGATGAACGGCAAGGTCGGCGTCGTCGTCTCCGCGAGCGCTTCGACGCGCCGCTTCGGCGTGCGCGTGGCGGGCGAGGCCAAGGCACTCGCACTGAGGCGCGCCATGGTCTCTCCCCGACTCGCCGGATGCTCTCTCTCTCTCTCTCTCTCTCTCTCTCTCTCTCTCTCTCTCTCTCTCTCTCTCTCTCTCTCTCTCTCTCTCTCTCTCTCTCTCTCTCTCTCTCTCTCTCTCTCTCTCTCTCTCTCTCTCTCTCTCTCTCTCTCTCTCTCTCTCTCTCTCTCTCTCTCTCTCTCTCTCGACAACCCACGCTTCTGCCCTCCCTCAGGCCGGCCAACCTGCAGCCAGCGGCCGAGGCGGTGGAGGTGGGCAGGCTCATCCTCAAGGCGGCGGAGTGGTCGCCGCAGTCCCACGAGCTCTTCCCGGAGGCGGCTCGCAAGCGGGCGGTCGAGGTGATGCGGTTGGGCTACCTGATCGCGTGGGACGAGGAGCGCTTCGAGGGCCGCGAGGGGGCGGCTCCAGAGCTGGCGGACGTCTGGCGTGGCTTTGTGCTGCCAAGGGTGGTGGCGCGATGAGGCCAGCGTTGTGTTTGTGTTCGTGGCATCGTGGCAGCCCAACCCCACAGGGTCTTGCCTGACCGGGCCGCTGTTTTTCTTTTCGCTCGGTGGTCGGAAGACTACATTCTTTTTGACCGAGCGCTTTCGTCGTAAGATACAAATCTCGCGTGAGTGATTAACCGCTGCGTCGAAAGCCTCGCCCTCACCGCCGACGGCGCCGTCTCGGGAGCTTGGGGCGGTGGAGAGGCGATGGCCGGTTGGGCCACACGGCGAGTATGAGCTTGGGCACTTGGGCACAGGACCAGCTGCTGCCGAAGAAGATCGAGGCCTTGGCTGGCCGGCGCGTTGTCGCTGTGTCGGCTGGAGAGCAGCACAGCCTCGCCCTCACCGCCGACGGCGCTCTCTGGAGCTGGGGCAGTGGAGACTTTGGCATGCTGGGCCACGGCGACGAGCAGACCCAGCTGCTGCCAAAGAAGATCGAGGCCTTTACTGACCAGCGCGTCGTCACCGTATCGGGACGCGGCCACAGCCTCGCAACCACCGCGCCGATGGCGCTGTCGTGAGTGTGTGTGTGTGTGTGTGTCCTCACTTGGGGCCACGGTGGCACCGGCTGTCTAGGCCACGGTGAGGATCTGGCGAACCAGCTGCTGCCCAAGAAGATCGAGGCACGAGAGGGATGCGACTCTTGAGAGGGGTTCGGGGCAGCAGTGAGAGCGTGTGGCCCGGTCCAAGGACCGGCACGCCCCCCCCCCCCCCCCTTGGGAGGTTCCCCGGGTGGAGGTTCGTGTCATGAGAGGTACCGATGTCCCGGGGAAACGGAAGTCCCCAAAACAAGGGGGCCCTTTTTCGTGCGGTGCCGCCCTGCGAGCGAGTTCTTTACCAGGGTGCAACCCTTGTTCCGCACTGTGCTGTGAACAGAGCACCAACCAACAGCTCTCAGGACCCCCCGGTGCTGGGGTGCTGCCAGCAACCAACCAAGTCGAGCGGAGCAGCGTCGTTCCGATGTTTCGGCGGGCACTTCTCACCTAAGTCCTTGTGGCGGGCCGCCAGGCCCGGAAGCAGATGCCGACGAGCATCACACACGGCGCGCTATCTGGGCTCGGAGGTCGGCAAAAAGGTTGCGCAACCGACACCAGCGACCAGGATCGTCGATCGAGGTAGGTGCACGCTGCTGAAGCAGTGCACCTACATAGTGCGGGACCTGGGGCAGCAACCAACAACCTGGATGGGGACGGGGTGCTGCTCAACCGGCGGCAAACAGCAGCGTTCACAGCCGAGTGCGGAACAAGGGTTGCAACTTGGTAAAGAACTCGCTCGCTGCTGGGGGCTCTCTCGTGCGCGGGTTTCCGCTCAAGCACGCGCACACTGCTGGCGCTCTCTCTCAGAACGCCATGGCCTCCCACAGCGCCGCCTACCTCGATGAGGTCCGGCGACGAGCTGCGGAGGCCGAGTCGCGGGCGTCGGCTGCGCTCGCCGACCTGGCGGCAGCAGAGGCGGTGCAGGTGGCCCTTCCCGCCTTCACCGCGGATGTGCGGGACGCGTCCGAGCTCTCCGTCGCCGAGTGCCGGGAGCAGTACGTGGCTCGCTTCCGGCCGCTGCTGATTCGCTCGATTGGCGCGCTCACAGACCCGTCGCCGTGGTCGCTACCATGGCTGCGAGAGCACTGTGGCCAAAAGTGCGCCGCGGTCAACGTCGGCGGCTCGCAGATGGCCGCGTCGTGCGAGGTGGCGGGCGTCGAGGTGATGACCATTGACGACCTCGCGCAGCGGATCGAGGCACGCTCCTCCGGCCGCTCCGCGTACCTGTATGACTGCTCGCTGCCGCTCAAGCTGCCTGCGCTCTGCGAGCGGCTCGCGGTGCCCGTCTACTTTGCGCACGACTGGCTGCAGCGGACGCGCCGGCTGCACGCCTTCTCGAGGTCGTGGCCGTCCCTCTTCGTCGGCGCGACGGGCACGCGCTCGTCGCTCCACATCGACCAGTGGAAGGGCCACTTTTGGATGGCGCAGCTCTGCGGCGCACACAGCCGGCCGGCTCTCTGCTTCAAGACGAGTGATGCCGTCGTGGTGAGGATGGCGTTGTTGCTGCGAAGGCGCCAAGCGGTGGACGATCTTCCACCCCGAAGACGCGTGGTGGCCTCTGCGGCTGCAGGGCATTTTTCTTTTTTACGGTGCGCGGCCTCTCTTCACGCCCTCGGTGCTGTGAACAGGTGCCTCTCCCCGAGCTGGCCAAGCGAGGCGCCGAGATACAGCCGAGATACAGCCGAGATGCAGCCGAGATGCAGCCGAGATGTGGCCGAAGTGCAGTCGAGATGCCGCCGAGATGCAGCACCTCTCGGCCACGCCCTCGGCTACGCCGCCGCCTCCTCCGCGGTCCAGGCGCCGTCTCCTAGACACTTCCTAGACACTTCCTAGACACTTCCTAGACACTTCCTAGCCTCCTCCGCGATCCAGGCGCCGCGCCTCGAGCCAACCTTTCCTTCGCTCGACGAGATGGAGGCGAGGTCTAGCCGAGGTCTAGCCGAGGTCCAGCCGAGGTCCAGCCGAGATCTAGCCGAGATGTCGGAGAGCGCCCTCCCCTTCGCTCGGCGGGAGGCACGCTCAGCCTCCAGCTCCTCCGCCTCGCTCCTTCCCCGAACCTCCTCGGAGCTCTCCCGCAGGCGCAGCCGGGCCAGTACCCGCTCCTCCGCCTCGCGCGGCGCGTCGACGTGACGCTGCGTGCGGGCGGGCCTCCTCCTAGACACTTCCTAGACACTTCCTAGACACTTCCTAGACACTTCCTAGACACTTCCTAGACACGTCCTAGACACTTCCTAGACACTTCCTAGACACTTCCTAGACACTTCCTAGACACTTCCTAGACACTTCCTAGACACTTCCTAGACACTTCCTAGACACTTCCTAGACACTTCCTAGACACGTCCTAGACACTTCCTAGACACTTCCTAGACACTTCCTAGACACTTCCTAGACACTTCCTAGACACTTCCTAGCAGGAGCTGCGTGCGGGCGAGCCTCCTCCCCTCGCCTGCCTCCGCCTCCGGCTTCTCCGGCCGTCTCCGCCTTCCGCCCGCCCGCCTCCGCCCGCCTCCGCCCGCCTCCGCCCGCCTCCGCCCGCCTCCGCCCGCCTCCGCCCGCCTCCGCCCGCCTCCGCCCGCCTCCGCCCGCCTCCGCCCGCCTCCGCCCGCCTCCGCCCGCCTCCGCCCGCCTCCGCCCGCCTTCGCCCGACTCCGCCCGCCTCCGCCCGACTTTGGGCGACCCGCCCCGACGCGCTCTCGCCCGGTCCCGGCACCGCCTCGGCGCCCGCCGCGTCCCCGTCCTTACCCGGTCTCGGGCCCGTCCTCGGGCCCGCCCGAAAACGGCCACGGGACCGTCCACAACACTGGCCCCGGTCATAGCCCTCCGAATACGGTCCACCTAAAAACCCCCCCCC